CTTTACGGAAGGCGTCAAATTGATGGAATATGCTTCGAATATGATGTCTGTTGTCTCAGTAGGCCGGCGAACTAGAGCCAAGGTAACCGCTCTACTTCCATATTCCGAGATCGGAAGTGTCACTTCCGAAAGTGACGCACCTCAAGAATTCGCATCAGCTCGACGCCACACAAATCACGTTCCTCCATCTTGACACACAATGTCGACGCCGACGCTACTAGAGGGATTTCCCCGTGATGCCCCATCTGCGCCTTCCACGAAACTCCGGTACGCAGACGTACGCGCCCACCCATTCCCGTGTTGACGCGACTTGGCTGAACCAACACGTCGATGTATCCAGGTCGCCGTAACCGCAACTGCCAAAGAGTTCGCCGGCATCTACCGGGGCAAGCAATACCATGAGCCAGACTTCGATGCCGTGCTCGACCGCGCATTAGCCGCCGGGGTAGAGAAAGTCATGCTGACAGGCATGTACGCATCCGACGCGTCTTTCAATCTCGGCATAGCGTGGAAACGACCGGAGCAATGCAGAGTCACAATCGGTGTACATCCATACCATGCCGTCGAAGCTGATGAGGGCGGAGAAGAATATTACAAGAGCCTGTCTGACAGCATCACGACGACCATGACTGAAGAGCCCCACCTCCTAGCCGCTTTCGGAGAGCTCGGCCTCGACTACGACAAACTGGCCGAAGCCCCAAAAGACGTTCAGATACGCGTGTTCAAGCGCCAGCTCGATATGATAGTAAGCGCAGGATGGAAACTACCCCTCTTTCTGCATTGTCGCGCTGCGTTCGAAGATTTCGTTGCTATACTCGAATCCTACATGGACCGGCTGCCTTTACGATCCGGTCTAGTGCACTCTTTCGTTGGTACCACAGCGCAGATGCAGACTCTGACCGGCATGGGCCTACATGTTAGTGTCAACAACTTCGCTTTCCGAGACCGCGATAGCTTGGATATGATTAGACATGCGCCGATGGATAAGCTCCAGATTGAAACGGATGCCCCTTGGGGCGATATCCAAGTGTCTAGTGAAGTAGCAAAGGCGTATTTGAAGAATGCAACGAAGTGGTCTTGGGGGAGTAAGAAGAAGGATAAGTTCAGTATGGGCGATATGGTGAAGGAGAGGAATGAGAGTTGCAATGTGGAGAAGGTGGCGTTGGTTGTTGCGGGGATTAAGGGCGTTGGCGTTGAGGAGGTTGCGGAGAGTGCGTGGAAGAATAGTGTGGGAATGTTCTTTTCGCGTTAGGGCGGTAGATGATGCTTCTACGTCATGATGGAAATATGGCATCATGTGTAGCTTTGGGGAAAATTCATTAACAAATACGCGATAAAAGTAGTTTAAAAGAACAAACCCTTCAAATTCTCGCATGTGCTATGCTACCTCTACTTCGTCCCATTAGTACCATTCCCGTTCGTCGCCGACCCATTCGTCAGTCCTCCATTCGGTCTAATCCCATTCGACTTCGTCCCATTGACAGCATTCTTCTTCGCCCTCGGTACCTCTACAAGCACCTCATATGCCTTCCCAGCCGTAACATTCTTGACAACGCATCCCTCGACCTCCTCCCCATCAACCACAACCTTGACATCCTTAACATCCCCCCTCCTAATCTGCACATCAAACACCGCACCCCTAAACTCCCTCCTCACCTTCATCTCCTCCCAATCACTCGGCATCTTCGGCGCAATCTTCAGACCCTCCCTTACACCTCTCAACCCACACAGCCCTTCAATGAAACACCTATACACCCAACTCACAGTCCCAGTATTGAACAACTGACTCGAGCGACCAGCCGTGCGATCCAGATGCTTGATCCCATACCCACCACGGTAGTAATTAGGAATGAAAATGGGGAGTTGGCCCCGGCGAATCAGATCCTCTTCATCTGGCCCTGGGATCATAGCGCGGAGCGTAGCGTACGCGCGGTCAACTTCATCGATGCCGTAAAGGGCCCATGCGTAAAAGGCAGCGGCGTGGTTGTACACGGAGCCGTTCTCGCCTTGGCCGGGATATTTCTGCGTTACGCGACCGACGTCTTCGCGCATGGCGGTGAAGGGCGGGCCGAACATGACGACGCCGTAGGGCGTTGTGAGTTGCTCATCAACCTGAGGGAGGATTTTGGAGATTTGCGCTGAGGAAGCTGCGCCGCCGAGGATGGACCATGCTTGCGGGTTCAGCCAGATACGACCTTCTTTGTCGTCTTTGATGCCGAATGTTACGTTGTCGTCTGTGATACCGCGGGCAAACCAGTCACCGTCCCAGAGGTGCTCGTTAGCTGATTCGTTGACTTGTTCAGCGCCGGCGCGGTACTTTTTCGCGATGTCAAGTTTGTCGGCGTCTTCGCAGATTTGCGCCCATAGATTCACGGCGTAGGCGGTTGCGACGGTGAGCCAGCCTGAAACACCGACGCCTTTGGGACCGACCATGTTCATCGGGTCGCACCAGTCGCCCTGCGCGATGTAGGAGAGTCCGCGGTCGTCTCGCGCGTTTGAGGAGAGCAGCCAGTCCATGGCGCGGCTGAAGCGCTCGAAGACTGTGAATGTGTCGCCGTACATGCTGGTGACTTTCTCGTCTAGCAGCGCATAGTCGCCGGTCTCGCTCAGGTAGATCTCCAGGGCGATGGGGAGCCAGACGCAGTGGTCGGTGTGAGGGATTTGGTTGATGTACTTGAGCACCGCGCCCTTGGCTAGAAGGATACCATCTGGCATGGAGCCGTTCTTCTCCTGCTGACCGACCGCTGTCGTGATGGCTTTGCGCGCTACTTCGGGCTTGATGAAGCTCATGCCCATGTTGTCTTGAAGGTAGTTTCGCGTTTGCGGATCGGTCGTGAGTCTGTTGACGTCGCCATGGTAGTACAATTGTCGAGGTAGCCAGTTGTTGACCAGGTTATCGAGATCTTTGTCTGGAGTCTCGAGACGCACGCAACCGCTGCCACGCTGGATGTAGTCTTCGTAGTCTTTGGCGGCTTTCGCGAACGCCATCTTGTTTAGGTATTTCTTGCGCATGTCGAGAATCTCGGCTTCGTCGTATGCAGGACCGAAAAGGAATCTGTACTCTTTGCTCTCGTTCTCGCCTAGATCGGCCCAATATTGAACAACTGCGGTCGGGGTTTCGTAACGGGCGTCGCTATTCGAAAGCTGTGACTCCTTCAGTGCCGATGGTGCTTGCAGGCCTCCTTCGCCTTCGAAAGCTTCTTGCTTCGCTTCCCATGATACTGGTGTAGTTTCGCAGAGGAAGTAGGTCTTGTCCTTCAGATACTTCGTCTTCGGGTAATCCTCCGCTTTTTGATACGGAGTCTTACAGCTCCCAACCACGCCCCCGACATTCGTATTCCACTCCGCCTCTTGGTTCATCCATGACATGTAGCCCAGTGGGAAGTAAGGATAGATACTCAAGTTGCGCTTGCGACCTGAGATGTTGGTCACCTTGATGCTCCAGAGTTCAGCCACATCGTCGGTGGGTAGTAAGAAGGTCATCTCGACACGAATGCCAGATTTCTCCACGAGCCACTTGATGTCGCTTTTGCCTACATCGAAGGTGAAGCGATCCAACTTTGCCCTTACCGGCTCATACGGCGCCGAGAATATCTCGCCGTTTTCCTCATCCTTGATGTATACGAACCGGCCTGGGTGGTGAGCATAGTAGTTTTGCTCCGGTTGCATAAAGGTCTTCGCTTCGAGGTTGGGCGCGTAGGCATATTTCGCGGGCTCGGGTTGCATGTATTGTGCAGTTGCAAAACCACGACATGTGACCTGAATCATCATACGTTGGTTCCAAAGGAATGCACCCGCTTTGGGCATCTCCGTGGGGCTTGTGAGCTCATAGCGCTCGCCATTTTGGGTAGGTTGTATCATGGTGGGAATGTGAACAAGGATAGTACCTGTGATCTCCGCGGGAAACTTTTATACCACGACGGGATGGTTGGTTATACAGGGACGTGACGGCCGACATGGCTTTAGGAGGCGTAGCTTACTGTGTTTAGTGACACTGCACAAGTCAATTGGAACGCGGGACCAATGCTGAATCAAAACGCGTGACAGGCACAAAGTCTTAGCGTTTCTGCTGATTTAGTCTACAGCGGGAGTGTCAAACTCGATGCTCGTGGACAAGATTGCTAGCAAGGCAAACGAAGGTCGTCGATACTCCTATGAGAAGAAGCAGCAAGAGCGCAAGCTTAGGATGACCTTGAAAACGAAAGTCCGACCAGCGTGCAAATCGTAAAAAGGACGACGAGGGATTTTCGCACGTCAGTCATCTGTTCCTCCATGGTTCATATAAGGTACACAGCACAATAAGCCGCACCGCGTGGGGCTAAGCGAATGGCGGTGTGGGGTTCAGCCTGAAAGGGTACAACGTAAGCGCGGAGACGGTTGCCCGGACCGCAACGCCTTTAGCCAGCCGTGAGGCAATACTGCGAGTCCCAACATGTCCAAAACTCAACGATCTTCGCATCGTCAATATGCGCACACGATCCGGATTGCGCAATCCGAGAAACCGATTAGTGTGGGACAGCAGCGAAGATAACGGAAAGTGTATGGTGGCGTATGCGCCGATGTGCCGAAAGCAGTGTGTCAGCTGCTCGCAAGATTGTGTGATCACGGGTGACAAGGAAGGGTATACCGTGCCGGCGCCGATATCCGTTGTATCCACAGCCACTGACATTAATTGTGACCAAGACTCGCTACCGGTTCCCCCATCCCGGGTATGCCCAGTGCTGCAGCCCTGCAGAAGGTGTTGGATATCGTGAACTGTCAATTTGTTCTTGGTTGTCATTGGTACGTGTGAAATATTGGGTGATGCAGTCAGACTGGCGAAAAAGTAAAGAGCGGGAAGGGTGGGGTGAATTACCATGACCAGCGATCAAAACACTATCGCAACACTGAACATAATACCAATCCTCCATGCCAGCCAAGACGATCTCAAAGCCGAGGTATCGTTTGTCCACTGGCGTAGGACTCTACTCAGCGGTCGACAATGCCGCACCGTTTTCACTCTAACTCTCTTTAGCGGCTTCGTGCGGTAAAGCTGCTTTGCCCGATGCCTTCGTGATTTTGACATACTTTCCCGTCTCAGGGAATGCTTTCTTTGTAACAACTGGGATCGGGTCTTTGTCCCACCACGATGGGAGAGCTGGGACACTTGTTCGCCAGAACCGCGCGGTTCCATCGCCGTCGACACTGAGGTATACATCCTGTTCTTCCTTATCTCGAAACATGCCGCATAGACTGCCCGTGACATAGCCAGCCACCGTGCCAGCAGGTCGATAGAACAGCTCTTTCGCATTGCTTTCCGTGTCGTAGATCAGGTTCGACCCTTCGCTCGACTCGATACCCAGTAATCGACCTTCGTTCATCCATAGAACAGCGTCGATCTCAGCCATACTCAGTCGTTCTTCGCCCTCGATCTTGAAATGCTGAAGTACCTTGCCATTGGGGCCATCCAAGGGGTTCCAGACGTATGCTTCTTTACCAGCGCAAAGCGCAATCTCTGACCGCGTTGGATGCCAGTCAAAGTATCGGCACCAGCGAGAAAATGTCTCTGGCATGACTGCTACCTTTCGACCGTCTGAGACATCGTGAGCCTGCACCACTGAGCCACTGTTAGTGCTCCAGACGATGAGCTTTGAGTCTGGCCTATATGTTGGTAAGCAAAGTTAACATGTGTCTTACGTGTAGTATGTACCGGAGTAGTGCTTACGAGAATGCGCCGGCCCAACTCTGCCCACCTGATTTGTCTGTAGCCCAAATAAGAGCCCCAGTCGAGACGGAATACATGCGTAGCGAGCCATCCCAAGACACCGTAGCAACACACTCCATGTTCGGGCTCATAGCCGACCACATGATGGCATCCGTGTGTCCAGTAAGGCGGTGCATCTCTTTACCTGCTTCCACGTCATAGATAACGACAAGCGGCAAATCTTCTGCTGCGCGCATGCCGTGTTGGGTTGTTCGGGCATTCGAATGGTACAGCATCAGTCTGCCGTCCTTGCTGAAGTATTTAGACCCAAAGTTGCCCAGTTCCGCGTTGTCAATGATGGTATTGTGGCGCCTGCTATGGTCGGCGGCTACATGACTGAGCGCTTTCAAGAACTCTGTATGGAGCGAGGACGCATCGATGAACTCCCTGGTCCATTCGTGGTTTGCTGCAAGTTCGGGGGCGATTGCGTCGATAGCTTTCGTAGCCCAAATGGAGGGATCGATCGGCTCTTCTTTGTCCAGTGTGCGTCCGTTCTGGTCCAGGTCCCAAAGGATAAGCTGGCCGGTTGTACGTTCGCTACGCTGAGTCTCATCGGCGACGGAGCTCACCAGGGTGTAGCCAGGTCTCGAAGTCCCTACACCGGAGGTTTGCTCGATCTCTGAATGGCTTTCCCCATTGGCAACTGAAGGCCGAAACGCCACCGACCCACCGCCTTCGAGGACCTCGCACAGCTGTCGGGTCTGAATGTTGTATACCAAGATACGCCCCGCGCTACTGCTGATGGCCAGCAACTTCTTGTCAGAGCTCACAGCAGTATCGTAACTTCGGTATGTAGTCTCGGATGGTTGTGGCAGATCGGCGCTGAAGTCGATAACATCGCGCGTTTGCGACCAGTTCTTTGGGTGACCAGAGGCATATTGAGCGGGGATGCCAGCACGTTCAAAATCTTGCGCCGGTTTGACGGGGAGGGTGTACTCCTCCATGAAACTTTCGCGCGTATAGCATTGCATTTTGATGATGAAAGTCGACGGATGAAGTTGCGCGATATCATGTTGATTTACTGAAGATGGCTGCCTAGCCGTGCGATGCGGGCATGGATCGGCAGATGACGTGAAGGTGCGCGGAAACCAATCATGGCTGAGAACTAACAATTTTAGGATCGAATCTGGTATTACGCATAACTGTGGTGTAGCAACCACATATTAGGCAACCAGATGAAGACCTGGAGAACCGGCAACCACGGCACGTTGCCGAGAAGAGGATAAGAAAATGTATGAGCTGAAACGAAACGTCAATCCCACCTATGCCGTGCGCCCATCGATGCTCAACTGCTCCGAGGACCAGGAACAAAGAGGATGCAGCAGCAGGGTAAAGCCGCCAGATAGGCTCATTGCCTCAACATCACCGACGAGCTGTCACCGCAGAGCGGATCAGACCCATCGGGACGCATCAGCATTACTCTCGGGCGTTGCCTTTGTTCAGCAGCCATTCATCTGGAGATGGAGGGAGAGCCCCGGCTACTGAACCCACAAACGCAGTCCGAGGACTGCGAATGCGAAACGCCCGCTGACGTCAACTTTGTCAGAATGGTTAGTAGGCAGACCGAACAGACGATGCCTGTGAAGCAGCGCGCCGGTTCGCGAACAAGTTCTGTAGACGCTGTCCTAGCATACGTGACGCGATGTCAATAATCCATGTCGTGGAGATGGTTTGTCGCGTCAAGACGCGTCGTCGCACGCGACTGCGACAGCAAAGTCACATTAGTTTCGAGGGATGCGTGCATCGGATATCGTAGCGGGGGACGAATGCGACACAATATACGGTCATCGATGCCCGTGATTGCGGTTATGCTGAAGAAATGCGTGCGATAGAAGGTGGCAAGGTTGGTCGCAACATCAGAGACGCCCTCGGGAAAAGGCTTGGCGACTAGTATGGCCGCTAGGCTCCTCTAGACATGGCACCCATCCGCTTCAACACAAACCTGCCCCCACATCAGCATCGGACGAGATGGCTATTCCGACTATATTATACACAGTAGTGCATTCAACAGATCTTGTAGATTCCCCTGCTCCTTCAATCACCCATCCCACCAACACCACCACCATCATCTACGCCCCTTCATCCTCACTATCCGTGGACCGCTCACTATCCTCATCCCACAACTCCCGATCCACCTCCCCATGATGCCCCGCATAATTCGGGTACCGATGCCCCAAAAACTTCCTCCTCTTACACCTTGGACAATCAGCACAAGGATCATCGTCCTCGTCATCCGATACCAAAGTGTGATCCTGAATCCGATAATACTTACCATCTTCAGCATCGTACACACGCGTGCTTTCCGCCGCCTTCTTCTCGTCTGCTTCCCTCGTTTCACGGCCGAAGTTGAGAATGCATTGGGCGACGTGCGAGTATATGAATTTTTCCGGGGGCCAGTTTTTGTAGAGGTCGAGGGGATCGTAGTGGGCTCCGCTTCCGACGGAGAGGGTGAAGTCTTTGTTTTCTTTTGCAAGGCGTGCGAGGCAGACGTCGCCGCCGCGAGTTGCGATATCAGCAGATGTTCTTGGGTCTCTGTCGAAGATACCGAGGGCGGTTTGGGGTTCTTCCTGGACTTCGAAGATGACCTTTTGGATCGCGTCGTGTGCTTTTCGCAAAGGAGATGCAAAGGCTTTGTCGTCTTTTGCTATGCAGCCCCAGTGCTCCTCGTCAGCGGCGGCGTCTTCCAGGATATAAATACCCATCCGTGGATCTTGGCTCCACTTGTTGTCCCAGGAGGGCTCTGTGGAGAGGGAGCGTACGAGGTGGTGCCAAACTTTTGCGCATTGGTCTTGCAGAGCTTGCCAGCTGAAGTAGAGGTCCATGGCATCGCCTTCAAGCCAGGGAATAAGGTCGCGGAGGAGGGCGGTGGGGCCGTTATCGTTCGCGGAGTGCTCTTCGATGTATGGGCGCCAGCGACGGCTTGCTAGTGTCCACCATACATTGTCGCGCTCTCTGTTGAATTTTTTGGCTAGGCGGACCAGCTCTGTTTCCGATCGAAGGGTGTTGTTGAGTTGTCTGACTTTATCTGTGTTTGTGTATCGAACGTCAGTGTCTTTCTGACAAGATGCTCACGTTAAGTGTGTACGTACCGTCAACAGCTGCGTCGGTAGTCGCCCATCCAAAACTTCGCTCCAGGAAGATCGGAGCCAGGATACTGGGTTCTTGTAACCAACGGCCGTCTCTTAGCTTCCGCATATCCTTCAGCGTTTTTGAGGTCTTCTTTCCTCGTGGCTCACGGGCTGCATCAGAGGCAGTCCGCCCTACCATTAAATAGACCTTGCGAAGAGACTCACCGAGAGTCTGGGGGGGCACCACCGAAGAAAAGCCTCGTTTCGTCTTGCTGGTGGATGAGGTACTCCATATCCGGCCATACAGGGCAATCAGGATGCAATAGCTTGGTGGCAACGTATAAGTGTGTCATCATGCAAATCTGACCCAACGCGCGTTCTAGCTGATAACCTGAGGTGTTGAGTTGCAGATAAGCGTCGTACATCAAGAGTCCACATCGAATCGGATTGGGCTTCAGGGTTTCGCATGGATCATCCGCGACTGCTTTGGTATAGGTAAGGTCCGTGGCCATGTCCTTTCGAACATCTGCTGCATGTCCAATAGACGGGAAGCGTTGTATCCAGCTACGCTCCAGCGCCTCTTTCATGGCCACCTCCCGATCTACGCGCACAGTCAGCTCATCGAACGGATCGTGCAGATGGTCTTTAGTTAGAATGTCTTGTATGTCGAGCAGTATTTGTATTCCGAACTACCCGTATATCAGTATGGTATGCGCTTTGTTTCTTGACAAGTACTTACAGTAGTCCAAATAGGGATCTGGCGATGTTTGAACATATGCGCCATACCGCGAGAGACTTCGTCCATGGCTATTGTCTCGTCATGGCGCGAAGTAGTGTGTCGGAACATCCGGGCCAGTTCAAGCGTGCGGTAGGTATCTTTGTGGACGCCACCGACTGGATTAAAAGCAGATTTCGCAACGATGGGAATATCCGTTTTAGGCTTCTTCGAAATCCTAATCGCCTCCAGGTAGTATTTTAGGCCGGCATAAACTGGCCACATACACCAGTAAACTTGTGAGCACGCATGAGAGCCAGGCATCATAAGGCCACTGGGAAACAGGAAGTCCATAAAATCGGATGGGCCGATGATGTCCGGATGCTGACTGATCAACAAAAGAGCTGGTAGTACTGCGAAGTATTAATGGCTGTGAGCTAAATGGCGAGACGTTCAGTCGATGACTTACCCCATACGGGAAAATTCTTCTGAGGGTACATCTTTGGGCGTACAAGCGTTAGATCAAATTCAGACTCAGCGTGCCGCACCAAGTCGATAGCTGTGTTCGCGATGACAGAAGCGTTCACCAAGTCGATTTTGCCGTCCTTGTATGAAAACCAGACTTCTTGAACAATGTCGCGGAGCTCATGTATGTTGGTAATGAACGACTGGATAGCGAAGAAGAACTCGGATTCGATTTCCGACTCGTCTTGCTGGATTTCAACAGGGTTCACAGGAGGTAGCGATTCCATCGAGTCATCTGGTCTGGAGGCAGGCTCCTCCCCAAGCTCATCCTCAGGCTCAGCCTCTTCAGCAGCATTTTCAGGGTCCACCGAGAGACTGGAGAAAGTATTCTTCATCTCTCGCAGGGTGTCAACGTCGGACTTTTGACTTGGCTCCTTCCTTTGAGCACGAGGCACAGACTCTTTAACCAGCGGCTGAAGGATATCAGCAGCATTTCTAAGAATTTCGACGAAGTGAGCATGGGTCTGATTGCTCTCGTCTAGGACCGTGTCGCTATGCGATTGTTTGAACAAAGTTGCCGCCTTTTCTCGAGCCTGGATGGCACGATCGAACAGTTTGCTGAGCGCTCCAGGGACCTCGACCTTGGGGACTTTCTTCGCAATGGCTTCTGCCATGGGCACAAACTCTCCAACATTGATGCGATAGGTATCCGCAGGGGTATTCGCGGAGGCAGCAGCAGCTTTTTGGGCTTCTTTCCTCGCCTTGCCCTTGAGTCGTTTAGCTGGCTGCGGAGTTGACTGTGGAGGAGCTAGACAGCTACTGCGCTGGTAGCCCACTTTTTCGGCGGTTGCTGCTAGCCATCCCGCGATGTATTCTGGATATATCAATTGAGGAGGGTCTAATTAGGCGGTCGACCAACCTGTGTCCTTCTTGTATTACCTGTAATTCGACGAAAAGAATGAAGCCATGGTGTGACAGATGGAAATAGCCACCAATCGATTATGGGTTGATACCTGATCTAGCCTGATGGAACAATGTATTGGGCTAGAGAGATGAGGACCTGGCGGTTTGACAAGCTATGCAGAAACTACTGGAGAGATATCGGTGGATGAGTCGCAGAGCCCATGCACCGCGTTCCACCACAACAAAGTCAGCGCGATGGATATTTTCTGCCTGGGGTTGATGCAGATGCAGATGCAAACACCTGGAAGTCGCATTTTCGCCATTGTCACGGATGCGCAGGGCTTCCAGGTTCCCCGCCAGCTCAGACCATCGTGAAGAGCCAATGGGAAGGTGGCGCGAGATCCATTCGGACGCTTTCCGAGGGGATTGCCACTCTTGTGAGGGTGTTATCGAAGCAACACTGTAACGTGACATTTTGCACGTCTGGCAGAGCCTTTATCGAAGATGATCGTGGGGACTGGATGTGAAGTGCTGGAAAGATAGCGCGGATGTGGCGTTATTGGAGATGCAGGAGGTTGTGGTGTTGGAGTTGTGAGAGGGCAGGGGTGAGAGCCATGACGTGCCGGACGCGAGAAGAGCTCCCCGCGCGCTTTGAGCTCAGCGCATCGGTAAAGCTTCGCAACCACAATGGCTGACATGGCATCGCGAATCGCGTCAGTAAGGAGTTTGTTACCTGATCTCGAATCAGCGCTGCATTCATTTACTTCGTCTCCCGCCAAGTTCCGCGTCGTACGGACAATCAACGACACGCCAACACAGCCCAAGACACTATACATCCTCGACTCTTCCTTCAACCCGCCGTCAATTGCCCACCTTACCCTCGCGACATCGGCCCTGAAGCAGTCGACGCCCCTAGAGAAGAGCCCGTACCGGCTGTTACTGCTGTTCAGCACCCACAATGCAGACAAGGCACCGAGTCCGGCAAGCTTCGTACAGCGCATCGCCCTCATGACCGTGTTTGCCGAGGATTTGTCGCGGAGCTTGAAGAGCGCGTCACCTTCGATGAATGATGACGTCTCCAACGTGTCGATAGACATTGGCCTAACCAAAGAACCATACTACAGTGACAAGTCGGTTGCCATAGCCGAGACCACACCACCATTCTACGCGTCGCGACCCATCCACATCCACCTCGTCGGCTACGACACCTTGATCCGCTTTTGCAACCCCAAATACTACCCCACGTACGACCCACCGCTTTCGGCCCTCAAGCCCTTCTTCGATGCTGGCCACAAGCTGCGCGTGACCCAGCGACCGACGGACCCGAGCGACGAGTCGTCCAATGAATTCGGTACAACGGAGGAGCAGGAGAAATATCTGCAGAACCTGAAAGATGGCAACCAGGAGAAGGCTGGCTTTGACCCTGCCTGGGGCAACAACATCGATATGGTGCAAGCCGAGGAAGGCGTTGGTATAAGCTCTACCAGAGTGAGAAACGCAGCCAACGCGGGTGATTGGGACACAGTGGGCAAGTTGTGTACTGAAGGCGTCACCGCTTGGATCAAAGACCAGGGCCTATACAGCGAGGATGCTAGCGGCAAAAAGATGATGGGCTGAAATACAACCACGTGCATGCCATGTGCAACAGTGATGCATATTCGAGTCTCTCAGACGCAACACCAGAGGGCATGCATATCGCGACCAAACGCCACTTCGGCTGCGTCAGACTTGTGTTGTATGTTTGGATAGCCACTGAATTGGGAAGTCGTCATGAACGGCATATGACACGCGCATTCCACACCAAATGAGGCCACAGCATAGATGCAGCCGCGACTGCCTCTCCCATTCAGCATCTCACGCCATTGTGTCTACTCCTCGTCTTCAGATTCGCGTTCTCATGCGTTACCATGTCTTCTGCAACCGTTGGTACTTGCACAAGCTCTTGTTGGCATCCAAAGGTTGTCTTGTTTCCATCTCTCTTTCCCGACTTTTGACCTTGGGCAAGCACTCCACGTGCACTGACGCAGCCATCAACAAACTAGCAACTTTCCATGTGCAGCCACCCACTCACCCTTCCTTCACCACCTCGCCATCATGGCGACCAAACTGTGCTGTACGGCCGAGCAGGACGATCGTTCAGATTCGCCCGAGCTACCCAACGCCCGCATCAGTCAGCCTACACCAGTGAACAGGCCACTTCTATCCAAGGATGCTAGCTCGCCCAGTTCACGCTTCACGAGTGCCCGTTCGGAAGACCTCCATGAGCTGCATGAGATCTTCCACAATGCTCGCGACTCCAACGAAGACCGAGCTATGCCAATGCGGACGCTTCGTGCACGCTTCAGCCGTCCTTCGATGCATAGCATCCGCAGTCTACACAAGATGACGAGTATGCGTTCACTGATCAGACGCAAGTTTTCGAAGGAGCTTCCTAAGAAAGCTCCGACCATTTCATCACCACATTTGCAGCCGAGGCCAAGGAACATCACTCCAGCTGCCGGCACTGTCGTCAAGCAGCTGAAAGACGGAACGAATCAGCAGCTTCAGATTACCAAAGATGACCTGCGCAAGGATCTCCTCAGCGACAAGAAGCCTGATGAGGGCGGTTATGATTCAGATGCTGAGGCACTTGACGAAATCGCAAACAACATTGGCAAGAAGTCACCAATCAAGCGGCCAAGCATCCACAGCATCGACTGGACGACCACTACCGGAAGGTGAGATATTGCGAGCTCGTTATCGCACCATACTAACAGTCACCAGCAAAACAACACCGGACTCCACGAGAAACGGCCGCACCAGCGGCGACCTCAACGATGACCTTCCTCCCTACAGTATCAACAAGCCACAGGCCGGTCCTTTCTCCCACCGCTTCAGTCAAGTGTTCAGCACGCCCAATCTACGATCAGATACACCTGGTGCAAAGGACAACAGAGTCAGACGCTCGCATTCGGCTACATCTATGGGCCTCCCGAAGCCATCCCCCCTCTCACCACTACGACTACCGAGTCTTACCGATCACGACTCTGCGGGGATACCATGGTCAGAGATAATGCATAAGAGTCTCCGTCTTTCGCAGTTTCCAGTGCCTCCGCGCCATATCAGCCCACAAGCATCTGTTACCACCTTTAACAACGACGACCATAAGCGACACCAAAAACGAAGTAGCTCCGCTTCCGCATCGTCGCACCAAGCCTTTGGACCGGCTGCTTCTTCTTCTGCTCGCCTCATTGAGATCCGCGTTCAACAGCCCACTTCCACTGCAACCCCAAGGCCGTCTACATCCATCAGAGGCACTCTCCGTGGAGATTCACCGCGTAAAGTACGAGGACAGGCACACAACAGCGAGGACAATGACGATGATGACAACCCACGTCGGTCTGTCCATCTTTACAGCATGCGCATCTCACATCATCTACGTTCCGGGTCTCTTCTCTCATGGGACCAACTTGCCGATGCACCAGAGCTTCCAACTCCGCCTCGCGCATTCCGTGAACGCACTGTCTCAGACCAGAGCCGAACTTACCCACAAAGTATGCAACTAGCCCGCCATGACCGGCAAACATCGAGCTCAGGCTTTGCCAGCGCAAAAGTTCCGAGTAGATGGGGTAAGGTATTGCCGAACGATCTTGACACCCGACCTGATGTTGCATCTTCCATCTACTCAAGTCGGCCTCAAAGCCCACCCGACAGTTTTGGAGGATCGGCGACCACTCTACCGCGCACTGATACTGAGAATCGCCCGGTCAGCATTTCTTCTGCCGACATACGACGGCCTCGACGTTCTGCCTCCTTTCCTACAGACAACGAAGACACACCAAGACCAGCTAAAAGACATGGTCTTACCAACCTCGTAACAGTCACTGGCCATCCGGTCGAGCCTTCGCTTCTTGCACCGCCCGCACCGCTAGCACGCAAGAACAGTGTTGCTGATACCAAGACCTCTAAATTTCGAGAAGAGTTCAGCCCATCTCCACCCAAGAAGAAGATGACACAGTCGGCATCTATCATCAAGTTCTTGAACCCGAAGCGTCTGAGTCTGCGCAGCCAGAGTGAAGCGAATCTCCAGCCTGAAGCTTCTGCCTCCTCGGCCGTCGCACTTGCCGCGGTGGATGGTCCATCTGATACGCTGGAGCTCCCTGTCAATCATGGACGTCGTCAGTCACGGTCATTGATAAGCATGCAGGCTGAACAAGATGCACTCGGAAGGAACAAAGGCGCCAATCATGTATGGGATCGCGCTTTGCAAGCGCATCAAGACGAGAAAGCATCTCTCTATCTTCCCAAGAACAGGGACCTTGCTGTTCATGCAAGCCCTTTCCGCGAGCGCAGCGGCAGCGTTTCCGTTAGACGCATCAGTGTCGAAGGCCTAGATCCAGCTAGCCGAGCTGACGATGGTTCTAGCACGCGGGTATCGACATTAAGTCCCCACGCCGAAACACCTGGTGAAGAGCGCTCCGAGGGGCTGTTCAAGATGGTGTCTCGTCGCAGTGCTATGATAGGGCGTGATGATGTTAGCGTTGGACAAGAAGTGGCAAATGCATTTGAGCGGCAGGGCGACAGCACGGATGTCGTCGGGGCCTGGGGTCGTTATCCTTCGCACACGCGCCATGACCGTACCGCCTCTGCAGGGAAGGCTGATAACGTGCAGCCTCGCGACTTCGCGCTTGAGGCAGCGATCAAGTTTGCTTCAGCAACGGATGACGAGGACCTGATCGAACCCACAGCGAGAAGACCGTCCACACCACTGCTGCCTGGGGAGAAGAAGAAAAAGAAGAAGGTTGGCAGTGGTCGCGTAGCGAAGAGCAACTCGATGACTTTCGGCAAGACTCTCATGAAGAACTACACCAAAATGTTCAGGAGTCAGAGCACAGAGTTCCGCAGGCATGGTAGAGGACACCGCAGTTCCATCGCATCTGGCGGCATTCTTGAGCACCCTGAGCTCGAGCTCCTGCCTGATGTATGGGCGGGTGAGGCTCACAGAGACGTTGACACGTACATCCCAGGTGATGAGCAGTCTGTGCTGAGGCAGGAAACCTTGAAGAAGACGACTAAATCCAGGAGCAACTTACGAGCGGAGGATTCCATGGCAACACTCCGTCCACGGCGCAATTCTTCTGCGCCCAATCTCAACGAGATGTCATTCGGCGATGGCGCAGCTGATGCGCAGCACGCAAACGATCGAGCACGTGTCTGGTCTACCTACTACGAAAATTGCGTCGATGCATACCCGCGTCTGAGTATGGACACGAACCAAGTTCTCGAGGACTTTGGTCGTCCGAATCGGCACTCATTCGATAGCCGGCAGGTGTCCGTGCACTCGCGCACTTTGCCTACTCATCTGCGCAAACACACGCGCAACGCTAGTCAGATGAGTCAGATGAGCAATGGGAGCCGCGCCAGGAGCTTCGGCTCGCTGGGTCAAGATGACAGCGCTTTCGAGGAGCGGAGCTTGGTCAGCGTTAGACGAAGCATCATGGATCTGATTTCCAAGTTCAAACAGCAGGAGGCTACGGAGCATGAAAGAATCTTGTCCTTCAGCAGGATGGACAGTGGAAAAGCGCGGGAAAGTGTGGCGGCTCAGTAAGGTGGGTCAAATTCGCGTCACGTCGTAATGTCTAATATTTGCTCCTCGAGTCCGCCAGTGCGACGAATGTATCGTTATTGTCAGCATAGGTCAGTCCGTAGCATTTACCCGTCATACTTGGTTCATTTCTCGTTGTGTTGTCATCGCCCTCGAGGCTGGTTGTGCAATGCTCGAATTTCCATTGGTCGCATATATGCTCAACCCAAGGTATTCAATCGCGTGTATCAGAGCTGCGACCCACTTCCACTTCTGCAGCCAGTGGCAATGCCTCGATATCCAAAACATCTGTCAATTCACAACAACACAGTGGCTCGTGCGGCGAGGACCTTGGGCTAGTGATTTGTTCCCACGTTTGACATGGGAAATATTTGCGGTGGGCTTTCGGGGTACTTGTCCGAGCCCACTGCGCGTTTTTCTACTGGGAAGTGCGAACTCTGGATACAGTCATTGCATTCAGTCAAGGCCGCTGGAAATTCTCACACTGTTTCTGTTTATAAGCCTGGATATATCCCGCTGTTTATCTATTCTCAGATAGCTACCCATCGCACACTGACTAAAGCACTAAGCCGACTACACACGCTCGCTCGACCACCACCAACTCTCAAATATTACGCACCTACCCGACTGATACATACGATCAACCAACTCACAGTCAAGCCGCCATAACACACTCAGTTGACTATATACGGTCAACTCATGTAAATTCACGCCGTCATCACACACTCAACCGACTACATACCGGCTCAACTACTACATACGAGCAGGTAACACATACGGTTGCCCACTACATACACCCACCACTACTACAAACGCGCTTGAACACCACACTCAGGCTCACACATCACACTCGCGGTTCAGTAGCCGATTTCCAAAACATACGCGAGACTCCTACACACCATGTCTTTCCATCCCCTAGCCACAACCCCCACAGTCCAGGCCATGAACGACAACCTGTTGAGGAATCTGTGGCCTCATCGCGAGATGGGTAGAAGGATGAATGGAGAGGTTGATCAAGGGGAAGAGACAGAGAGTGCATATGAGGAGGATGGAGATGTGGAGATGGAGATGGAGATGGAAGAGGAGGTGCAGGAAGAGGCTGTTTCTTCACCACCACCAGAAGTGGAAGTGGAAGTGAAAATGGAAGTAGAGGTTGCAGCAAAGGAGAAGAAATCACCTAAATTGATCATCCCGACGAGAATTTGGAATGAGACTAAGGTTGGAGGCAAGGTTGGAGGCAAGGTTGATGTACCAGGCGTACAAGACGTTCAAGATCCCAAGGCGGAAAGTCCGAAGCGCAAACGCGTTTCTCTTGTCTTACATCACGACATTGAGCCAAGTGAAGCCGAGGCGCAAGAGCAGGAGGCAGAAGAGCAAGTAGAAGAAAGAGGCCGCCGAAAGCGGACAAAGACACTGAAAGCCTCTCAAAACGAAGAGATTTCGCGAGAGAAGACGAGCGGAGCTTCGCGGTCACGTGGACATGCGGCTTCGGCTTCGACATCTAGACCCGCTTCCCGCAACGCTGCCGCTATGGCTCCACGTTCACGTGGAAGCCAAAACGCACCACTATCCTCCTCCGCCCTCGCGCTAGAAACCGCCGCCCGCAGCCTCGCCCTCCGCGCTTCCGCCTCCTCCTCATCCCCACCCACCGTCCCCACCCCACCCCTCACACCAACCACGCCACCACCCAACGAAGGACCCCGCGCAGCATGGCACCGCCTCTTCCCGCACCTGCCCCCACTCTCAGACTACTACCACATCGGCGAATGGCGCGAATTGATGGTTTGGAAAGAGGCGAAAGGATGGATTAAACGGGCCGCAGATGACCCATGGGAGAAGCCGGTGTTTAGGAAGCCGGGATGGAATAAGAGGGATGAGGAACAAGAGAGATTGTGGCAGGAGTGTGAGAGGAGGATGGTGAGGGAGAGGGGGTGGACGTATGAGGGGAGGGAGAGGGGGGATGTGGATATGGTTAGGGCGGCTGAGAGGGCGTACTATTGATGGGATGGGGGTTTGGTTCAGAATGAATAGAGTGCGCCCTTGACTCACACTGCGGTTTGGTCCTTCGGGCAGGTGGTGTATTTTGTAAGGGCGAGGTTGCGGCTACATTCTTTTTGTAGTCTCTACAGAAGAGTCTGCCCTCATAGCCGAGAACTGACAGTCTCCAGGCTGGGGTGATTAGGTGTGAGTTGTTTTGATGATGGTTGTAGATACCGTAGTATGTGCCTCGACGCACCCTGGTGCGGGCCTCTAGAAGTATCAATGACGTTCCTATCGTTCTGGACTCAAGCTTATGTTTGGTATGCACACTTATACCTCGTATAGTACTCGAAGTGCATCAGTGGACGCGTCTTCACCGTGAAGCGCGTGCTGGCTTGGAGCGCATCGTTAGATATGGCTAGCGCGACCAAGTGGGCCCGCCAAGCGAAATCCGGCTTTGGCCTGCCACCCTGCTTTCCTGCACTCGCAGCCTTCATGATGACGCCACGCGTCGACAACGCGTCTTCTCCAATTTTCTCATCTCCACTTTTCTCATGTTCTTTGCATCCCGCGATCAGATTTCGCAACAGTCTTTTGCTTGGACTTCAGCCCAACAGCGGCGTTGACAACCGGGAACATCATCCCAAAGCGGTATGCACGCGCTCACAACGGAAGTCGCACTTCCCGAAACGATGTAGTCATGTTGTTATCACACCGACACATTCATTGCTATCGATTCGTTCTATGGAAAGGCATTCATCATCTACTGAACATTGGAGATCTTGAAGCCACCCGGCACAAGCTTCTGGAAAACACCAGAAGGATCATACTTCTTCGCCGCAGCCTTCATCTTCTTCACAGAAGCGGATCCATAGCTTGCGAGGGGATCTTGCGTGTTGTCCGCGTAGTTCAAGTATAGGTATGGATTGTCGGCACCGATACTCTCAGCATACTCGCGGATACCGTTAACGAGATCGGCGCCTGCGGCTTGGAAGAGCGCGTCTTGCTCAGCGCCTTGCCAAGAGATGTAGGGTTGGTATACTATCGATACTTATTAGCGTCTAGTCTTCACAGAACTTCATGGTGAACTTACAACACAGCACCTGTTCACCAAAGCGCTCCAAGCCCAGCATATTGCCGCCCTTGGACGCGCTCTGCCTCCAGTACGAAGGTGGAAGGGGCTGGTAGAGCACATAGATCTGCCAGTCACCTGTAGCCTTGGCCTTCAGGTTGGACAGCACATCCATGTAGATCTCATGGGCTTTGGTCATGACGCGAAGATCGTTCGCGAAAGTCAGTGTGCCAAAGTATACGCTGGGTTTTGATCAGCATCTTTCAAGAGCAATGGCGGCTAGCTTACCTGTGTGTAGTGGCGCCCGCGAGTTCCGCTGCCAGTGATGACATGTTCCTGATACCTGTGGAGTCCGAGATGTTGCCAGGAATCGCCAAAAACTCGTCATAGGCTGCGGGTCTCGATACTGGCTCAGCATAGTCGTACGCGTTCAGGATCAAATCGGCGCCCGCCGAGCTCTGATACACCGGCATGACGATAGCTGAGCCCTTCGGTTCCTTGTCAATGTTGTTGGAGAAATTGATGAGAGCCTTGAAGTGGTCTTGAATGGTCGACTCTGGGTAGATGACAAGACCACCCCACATGCCGGCGTAGTCGAAGGTGCCGAATTTGAAGCTAGTGACGATACCGAAGTTGTTGTTGCCGCCTTTGAGGACAGCAAAGAGATCTGGGTGCGAAGTCTTGGACGCGGTCACAATACGACCGTCAGCGAGGACAACCTCGAACTCGATGACGTTGTCGCAGACCAGACCCCGCCCCGGCGAGAAGTATGAGATTCCACCGCCGAGCGTAAGACCACCGACGCCGACTGTGGACGAACGCCCACCACTCGTCATCGCCTTCAGTGGTTCCAGAGTGTCGTACACGTCGTTCCATGTCGCCGCAGGACCGACCTTGACCAGGGCCTTCTTAGCATCATACTCAACGGTGCTGAGATAGTGCAGGTCGAGTGTTACGCCATCTTCAATGTTTGAGGCTCCAACGTACGGAGTGTGTCCACCACTACGAATCGCAAACTTGCATGACTTCAACCGAGACGCGACTGTGAGAGTCTTAACAGCGAGGGCGACTTCTTTGGCGGTCTTGGGCTGGACAATGCAGTTGGGTGTGGTAGCCTGCTGCTTCACATCGAAGTAGGAATCTTCCCGCGTCTCATACGCATCTTGACCAGGGTAGAGTAGCCGACTCTTTAGGGATGTGAGTGCAAGAGCGGAGCACTGTAGATGTTAGCAGATGTTTCGAGTAGAAGGGAACTAGGGAGTAGCCTCACGCAATAGTCAGCATGTGCGAATGGGACGACAGCCGCTGCCGCAAGTAAGGTAAGGGACAAGCGAGTCATGGTGCTGATAAGTCCAATAGATGGGGAGATAACACAAGGAATACTCGATGATCGAAACCTTGACGCAGGCTGTGGCACGCTTTTCTACTCGCTCGTATCTCTCAACAGGTTGAGGGATTAACCTCAGCAAGGATGCGCAATTCCTGCTCAGCAATGACTCGACATATGAGATGAAGCTGGATGCTCGAAGGATGCCAAAATTGTGTCTAGGACTGGACTCAATGTGGCGTTCGACCTGTGCCGCGAAGGCAATACACCCGTCGGCAGCGAAGCGGCAATGCTGTCGATTTGTTCGCTAAACGGTGGCTTACAGGGGTCTATGAACGTATGCTTCTCCATAGGTTCGAGATCACTTTACACACGGCTCGGCTCAAGAATTTAATTTGAGGATCATCCGCGACCCTGAGGAGCGGACCGCGGGCAGCTGGGAACGAGGCACGGTCGCTCTAACGGCCATCAACAGACGCTTCGGAGACCTCGGTCGACCACACTGATGTATGCGACGCCTAAAGGATGGCCACTTCTATGAACGCCACATCCTTGGCATGCTTATGCTCACCCCAAACCTCCGCCAGACAGGAAGACATCTGAGCCGTTATTGCCATGCACAGTCATGATTCTGATGCAGTGGAGTGGCACAGGTATACTGACCAAGTTCTTGGTAGGGGGTGCAGTACTCTAGGCCAATCTCTTGCTGCATGTGTGAGCCTCACTGCCTAAGCGATGCGGCGTGTACAGTGACATCGCCTGTGCGCTATCACTGACCATCACAGTCAACAGCAGGATTTCATGTGTCATAGAACATGGTTACATGTTGAGTATGTCGGTTGACCAGAGCAAGAAATGACGGATTGCGATGACCCAGACGATGGGGACGAGAATCCGAACTGGGATATAGACACATCAGCTTCGCACATTAGCAGGGACGCGCTCTTTCTCCACATATTCGCATCATGGACATGAACAAGCCAATCTTTCCGGCTCCGCCTGGCTACATTGTCGATGTCGATAACCCCCAGAGAACGGGCGAGGCTGCCAACTTCTGGATTGGCACCCTGGGCATGATCATCGCCGCCATCTTCATGGCTATACGCGTCTACACGAAGACGAGACTAGCAAAGAACTTTACACCAGATGATAGTAAGCTCTTCAGTTCTGGCCGAGATCGACAAAGGCCGAAATCAGTACGCTTGGTGTCTAACAGTAACTACAGTAGCGCTGCTCATAGCCTGGGTGCGTTGCATCGCAGCTTGAAAAAGATGGCATGTTCGACAAATCGTGCTAACAATCGAACCTACAGTGCTTTTCCATCGCAATACAAGTCCCCATCCTCTGTACGTCTACCGAGGCCAGTCTCCACCATCGCTGATCTAACAACTCAACAGTCCAATACGGCCGCGGCACACTCGGCGTCCACATCTGGGAGCTAATCGGGCACCGCGTCAATTCTACCATGAACGTAAGCACCATTCATCAACACCTCCCAACAATCCCGACTAACCACTCAACAGTTGATCAGTGTAGCAAGTATAATTTACTGCCCCTTCCTCGCCAGCGCCAAACTCTCCCTCCTCTTCTTCTACCTCCGCCTATCACACCTCCGGTGGTTCAAGTCATGTGTCTACGCAAGCATGTTCCTCGTGGTCGGCTACAATATCGCCCTTGTCTTCCCGCTCATCTTCGCTTGTACGCCGTTTCGACGGAACTGGGATGTTACCATTACCGAAGGAAGTTGCATTGATAGGACACCGCTTTATATGGCGACGGCGGTGTTGAATATGGCGACGGATATCTTGTTGCTGGTTCTGCCGGTGCCGATGGTTGTTAGGTTGCAGATGCCAAGAGCGCAGAAGTTGGGGTTGATTTGTATCTTTGGGGTGGGCTCGCTGTGAGTTGACGAGTATGGATCAATGAACGGGAGAAAGAAAGTTAACGGGAGCGACAGAACGTGTATAACAAGCGGCGTCCGCCTCGCCCTCCTCTTCCCCATGCTACAGACCGTCGACCAAACTTGGGCGATCGTTATGCCGGGTATCTGGATGTAAGTTCCACTCCGTCCCACGCCTCATTACACAATCACCAAAGCAGGCTTCATTGCATCTCATCAGGTCTACGCTGCTAATCCACCCGTGCTACCAGTCTCATAGAAGCCAACCTCGTAATAATAACCGGCTGCCTCCCCACCATGCGCCTCTTCTTTCGACACGTGGCTCCCCACCTCATCGGCGAATCTACTCTACGCAGTAGTCGAAATCGAAGTCGCGGTACCAAACAAAGTCGTAGTGCAGGAGGACATGATGCAGATGACTCGCAGCACGAATCCGAACTCAAGACGATTGGTTCGCGGATTGCAAAGACGAATGGGTACGAATGTGTGGATAATGACAGGGTCAGTGTGGGAAGCGAGGAGAGAATGGGGGCAGGTTGGAGGGCCGATAGAGATTCCGAGCGGGGGATTGTTGTGAGAGAAGATGGAGAAAGGGGGATTAGGAAAACGTCGAGTGTGGTTATTGAGAGCGAGGTTTGGGAGGGTGGGGAGGGAGAGGTACGGCAGAGCGTTACACATGTGCGGTGATGTAGGTATTACATCAAGTAAAGAATATTCTCTTAACATGATATTTGTGTAGTTGCTATTGCTGTCAGCATCTAAAAGCTGAACTTCATACCACCATTCGCGCAAATGACACTCCCAGTAGTCCACCCCGCCTCAGGCAAACACAACATCCCCACCACACCCCCAATCTCCTCACTATAACCCGGCCTTCCGCCCGCACCCTGGCTCGCCTCATAAATCCTCTCCGGATCAATCCCCTTCCTTGGCGCCGCAAGAGGCGTATTCTCGATAAACGGCTTGTTCTGCGCAATAAACGCGTCGTCGTTACTCCAGTACATATCCGTAGCAACAGGACCGGGGTTAATCGCATTAACCGTGCAGCGCTCCGCCAACTCCCTTGACCACGTCCTCGTCATGCTCTCCAACGCTGCCTTTGTACCACCGTAGATAGACTGGCCTTTGTATCCCAGGCTCGAACTCACAGAGCTGAGGTTGACGATACGTCCAGACCGGTCATTCGGCAAGTACTGTGTCGCAGCCTTGACCAGCAGCAGCGGCCCCCGCACATTGATATTGAACTGCCTCGCAAAGTCCTCACAATCCACGTTTTCGACGTAGTTGTTTCCAGCGACGCCCGCGTTGTTGATGATGATGTCGAGTTGGAACTTGCCCGTCTTGGGGTGCTGGAAGTTGTTCTTGGTTACTTCGACGAGGTGGGTGGGGCCGTTTTCTGAGCCCATGCTCGCTTGTACGCTGATGGCTTTTATGCCGTATTCGGCGGAGAGTTCTGAGGCGAGGTCTTCGGCGGTCTTGGACGAGGAGTCGGAGGTGTAGTTTATGACAACGTTGCAGCCTTTGCTGGCGAGGTTGCGGGCGATTTCTACGCCGATGCCTGGGGGTGTTAGAATTGGATGTAGTTTGGGTATGTGGTTTGAATACCCCTCGATGCTCCTGTGATGATGGCATTCCTTCCTTCCAACACGCGCTGGCCTGAGCCGCCGGCCAGGTTTGTGGAGGCGGTTCGGGTGTGAGTCGGTCTTGAAGCCATTGTGATATGCGTGTGAATATTATCCGTGTGTATTTCACTGGCTCGGGGGGTTGTTGCGCTTGTTATCGTCTACTTGGCTTGTTGATGGCGGGGTTTTATACACGATGCGGGGTTGTGGAGACAGCTAAATAAGGCAAGTACTCGGTGGTTCCGCCGCCTCGTCGTGAACCCTTCGCTCGGACATTTACCGACCATCGTGAGAAGAGCTGCAGTACAAACCACCGACGACACCTGACTCGCATGCCGCCTTGGTGTTCTGCTCGAGACGAGTTGATGGCATTGTCCCGATGTCGATGATCTTCAGGGTCTGAGCTAACCCAGAAGATGCCTGTTGAGATGCAGAACCCGCTAAGAGCTGGCGCGGAGCTGATTCATGCTGTCATGGACGACGTGTTAGCCATGGCCAATACCCAACACCCAGTCGAGAAGGGATCGTTCCTGCGTGAATCTTTACAGGGTGCCTCGTCCCTGTGCTGTGGAAACATCCGAATTCTCACCGGACACGCTTGAAGTTGCGCAAGCTCGTCACCGCCAAGGCTCCGAGCGCCCCTCCGCCGATGTCGCTTTGGGGAAAAGTTAGCATTAGCAGAGCTAGTGCGCGATAGCTGTGGGCATGGGAGCGCTAAAGCAGCAGGATAGTCCAAGATAATCGCTCCACACTGCGTAGATTGAGGGAAGCCCTGACGAACGGCGGATTGTTCTCGCCGTTGCAGAATAAAGTTGAGGGCGGTGAGTGCACCGTCGAATCGGAGCCACGTAGGCGCCAACCCCGCGACGTTGCTGCATACGCCAGCAAAAAACATAAAGCACACCATCCGCTACCACTCTTCCTCCTACATCCCACCTTCCTCCTCACCCTCTTCCCCCTCCCCTCTACCACATCCTACCCATCCCCCCAATTATCACAGTTGTCCGCATCGGACAATCACATCACAATGGTACACTCTTCAGTACTCGGTTTCCCCCGCATGGGTGCGGACCGTGAGCTCAAGAAGGCCAACGAGGCCTACTGGGCGGACAAGCTCTCGCGCGACGACCTGATCAAGGAGGGCAAGCGTCTGCGGTTGGAGCACTGGAAGATCCAGAAGGACGCCGGCGTCGATGTCATTCCCAGCAACGACTTCGCTTTCTACGACCACCTCCTCGACCACATCCAGCTCTTCAACGTAAGCACACGTCATCTAATACCCGCTGCAGTCGACTAACAGGACTAGGCTATCCCAGAGCGCTACTCCAAGCACTCGCTGCACAAGCTCGATGAGTACTTCGCCATGGGCCGTGGCCACCAGAAGGACGGTGTCGACGTCCCCTCGCTGGTAAGTCCCGAAAGTTCGGGAGTTACCAACACCATCTAACCCCACTACAGGAGATGGTCAAGTGGTTCGACTCAAACTACCACTACGTCAAGCCCACCCTCCAAGACAACCAGACCTTCACCCTCGCCGAGAACCCCAAGCCCGTCGCTGAGTTCCTCGAGGCCAAGGAGGCTGGCATCACCACCCGCCCCGTCCTCATCGGACCTGTCTCCTTCCTCGCTCTCGGCAAGGCCGACCGTGGCCAGTCCGTCGACCCCATCACCCTTCTCGAGAAGCTGCTGCCGGTATACGTCGAGCTCCTCCAGAAGCTGAAGGAGGCTGGTGCCGAGTACGTCCAGATTGACGAGCCTGTCCTCGTCTACGACCTCCCCCAGAAGGTCAAGGATGCCTTCAAGCCCGCATACGAGAAGCTCGTCGGCAGCGGTCTGCCCAAGCTTGTCCTCGCCACCTACTTCGGTGACATCGTCCACAACTTCGAGGTCTTCCCCAGCCTCCAGGGTGTTGCTGGTATCCACATCGACCTTGTCAGGAACCCTGAGCAGCTCGAGAGCGTCATCGGCAAGCTTGGCTCCAACCAGGTTCTGTCCGTCGGTGTCGTCGACGGTCGCAACATCTGGAAGACCAACTTCAAGAACGCCATCGAGATTGTTGAGACTGCTGTCCAGAAGCTCGGCAAGGACCGTGTCCTCGTTGCCACCTCCAGCTCCCTTCTCCACACTCCCCACTCTCTCGACAGCGAGAAGAAGCTGCCCGAGGAGGTCAAGGACTGGTTCTCCTTCGCTTGCCAGAAGGTCTCCGAGGTCGTTGTCATCGCCAAGGCTGTCAACGATGGCCCAGCATCCGTCCGTGAGGCTCTTGAGGCCAACGCCAAGTCGATGCAGGCTCGTGCCTCATCTGAGCGCACCAACAACAAGGCTGTCAAGGACCGCCAGGCCAGCGTCACCCCTGAGCAGCACGAGCGCAAGTCTGGCTTCCCCGAGCGTTACGCTCAGCAGAAGAAGCACCTCAACCTTCCCATGTTCCCTACCACCACCATCGGATCCTTCCCCCAGACCAAGGAGATCCGTATCTCGCGTAACAAGTTCACCAAGGGTGAGATCACACCCGAGGAGTACGAGAAGTTCATCGAGAAGGAGATCGAGGAGGTTGTCAAGATCCAGGACGAGCTTGGCCTTGACGTCTACGTCCACGGCGAGCCCGAGCGTAACGACATGGTGCAGTACTTCGGTGAGCGCCTTGACGGTTATGCCTTCACCACCAAGGGTTGGGTCCAGTCTTACGGATCCCGCTGCGTCCGTCCCCCGATCATCGTCGGTGACATCTCGCGCCCTGCTCCCATGACCGTCAAGGAGTCCAAGTACGCCGCCTCCATCTCCAAGAAGCCCATGAAGGGTATGCTTACTGGACCCATCACCTGCCTCCGGTGGTCCTTCCCCCGTGACGATGTCCACCAGTCTGTCCAGGCTCAGCAACTTGCTCTCGCCCTCCGCGACGAGGTTGTTGACCTTGAGTCTGCTGGCATCTACGTCATCCAGGTCGACGAGCCCGCTCTCCGTGAGGGTCTTCCTCTCCGTGCCGGCACTGAGCGCGAGAAGTACCTCTCATGGGCTGTCGA